TCGGGAGCCTGTGAATTCATTAATTCCGTGTCCTGAATTTCTCTAACCTTGGTGCTTTGATTCCCCCCCACCCCAGACGCGTAGAAAACATCTGCCTTAAAACAGCAACTGCTGTCATGATGGATTCCCACTGGGTACTGGAGAAAATGTCTGCATGAAGTAAAAGTGTTTTGTGAACAGGGAAGCATGTACCTATTGCTACTGAGCTCAGTTAACAGTTAGCTGTCCTATCTGCAGAAAATCCCTTCACATTTCTAACCTCAGCTTCTTCACCAATAAATTAAAAGTTTGGAACTAGTAGATCCCTAGGTCCTTTCTAGACTTCATGGTCAATAAAAGCTATGATCCTGAGATTAGAATAGGACCACAGGGAAGCAGGGCACAGATCCACATGGCAAAGTGGGACAGAAAATCAGCAGGGACGAAAGCTCCCTAACAACCACAACACCCAAGAGCAAGTACCTGAGCGTTTTCCCCCTCTAATTAGGTTTCTTCTTCCACCTGGGCTCTTGACGCCACGTTTAAGAGGACCCAGTGTGACTGTCATACTTGCTGTGAGTGGACAGCCACTTTGTGCACAGAGGCTTCCACAGAGAAGCTCCATGAGGCCCACTGGAAAATTGTTTGGGAAAAAATAGGTAGTTTCAACCTTTGGCAAGAACTCTGGTTTCTTGGGTGATCTGGGTCACGATTCAAAACTTGAGTGATGTTTACAGTGGGACCCAGGTACAAGGTTTATGGAAATTAGTTTTTTCTGTTCTTCATCTCTCCTCGCTCCCTCACCTCCGTACCCTGCCCTTAGGGTTCTTTCTCAACTTCTCTTTCTCTTTTCTCATCTCCTTTGACCTTCAGTGAGAAGAATCATCTCAACCCTAAATTTCAGGTATTACTCTGGGGTGATGGATGGGTGTTGAATTATTAAAGAGGTGACTTTGAACCCTGTCTCTTTCTGTTTTTCACTTATATAGCAGGTATGATAGGACTATCTGGACACCGGAAACTGTGCCTAGGGAGCCTGCTGGATTTTAAAAGACAGAAACTGAGAGCTGAATCAAAAACATAGTTTACTGAGTTTCAGGGGGGAAAATCTAAACATGGTCTATGTTTCCTAATTTTCTCCATCTCCAGCACTTTTTTAATTTAATTTTTATCTTTCAGAAGTCTATTTTAAAATAATGATAATTAATAATTCAATTCCATTGAAATGTACAGCTTTGGTTCATGACTTCCAAGGCAAACAAAGTCTTAATGACATCACAGAGTGGTCTTGTATAATTTCTGCCAGACTTTCAGACATCTTCAGACCACTCTCCAGAGTCATCCTTGGGGACCCTGGGGCCTGAAGACACCAGATGGGGAGTCGGAGGTGTCGGAGGTTCTCAGTCCAGGCCCCTTTCAGTCCTTTACTTACATTTTCTGTGTTCGGCAGCCTCCCTGCCTGAACTGATTTTACACCTAGCATGAATCATCAGACTGCCTGAGTGTTAGATCTGCCCCAATGAAATCTGCAGTGTTTACATCACTCACTTTTTCTTCTTCAAATCGTCTTGGAAGAGGGTGAACACATACTCATCATTAATCAAAGAGTGAGTAGATTCAGATTTTTTTCCTTTTTCTTTAATTTACAAAATTTTTAAATGGGAAATTGTTACAATAAATGTTATTATGAATAAGAAAAGCAATGTACAAAGCCTCACTCTTTTCTGGGAGTGGGGGGTCCATAGAACACACTTAGGTGTGGCTGCCTGAGCGACCAGAAGGGAGACCAAGGGATGCGACTCAGTGCAGCTGATGAGCCTATCATCAGGCTCATTTTCACTAACCTGATCAATCACATTCATGTTTGGGAGCTTTTCTTTGTGAGAGCTT